TCTAGTGGCAAGACTTGGGGAGAAAGCAATGGCCAAGATTGTGCCACATCACCCATTTTCGCACAACACACTTTCGACTTCTAAAATCCGTAACTTTCACATACGACCTCCGTTTTTAACGTTCTTTATACCCACGCGTAGGTAAAAATAATATCTACAACTTTCATTTTGACTCCGTCGGCAAATTCTCGACCGATCTTAAATTTAACAGTACAAGGAGATTATACTGTTAAATGTCCGCTTAAAATTCATAACTTCTACATACGGACTCTGTTTTCGTCTGTCTTTTTACTATTGAGTTCCTATTAATGAGATCTTCAATTCTCATTTAGGCTGCGTAGGCCAAAAACCGCTCGATCTAAAATTCGAGTTTCGGGTCGTGCACTACTATGCCAAATCTTAGAAAATTCATAACTTCGTCATACGAAGTCAGATTTGGGCGTTCTTTTTATGGACGCTATCGGTTTAACATATTCTACAACTTTTGTTTATATCACTAAGGCTAAAAAGTACTTCATAGTAAATTCACTATTTACGTCTCCCGGTGTCGTGCCGGTTTTGCCGAAAAACTTCGACGATACATAACTTCTTCGTTATAACTCGGATTTCGGCGTTTTTTATATATACGGAACCCTTGAGATATATTCTACAACTTGGTTAAGATTATTTATTCTAAATAATCTTTTGTCGAAAATTTGTTTTCGACCCCTATTATCTCTAAATTGACTAGCCCGGATCTACGGGCGTTACATCAAGCTTGTTTTGAGAGCACTTTTCCATCAATCAAGAAGACATGGTCACGACAAACTTTACCGTCTTCTGTTACACGCAAAAACGAACTAAATCAAAGCCACTTGCTTTGATGTCTTTGTGTCTGTTTATCTACGCATCCGCTTAGTTTCTCGCTTTCATTAGAACAAGATCGACCAAAGAGAAATCGGGGCTCCTAGCTATCAAAACCGAATCACACCTCCTTTAAACTTGAAGAATCCCCTGTTATAAGAAATGAAGAAGACGGAAAACATATCGAGAAATATCACATGAAGAAAATTGCTCTTTTTTAAAACTTCCTCAAAAAAGCTCTCTTATTAAAATTAAAAAAACTACATGTATTTATAATCCTAAGAATTACGGAATACTTGTTAAGCAAGTAAACAACTAAACACCTTCCTAATTTAATTCAAAAACTCAAAATTGGTAGGTTTTTTTTTCCAAAATACACCCGAGTGCAATTTTGTCCCATATTCGAAATTATCCAACATGCTGAAAACATCTGCTCTTAATTGAACTTCTTGGTGAAATAATTCATTACTTGCATGTAACGATTTGTTGTAGACTTTTTTTAGTCTTTATATCTAGTGCCTTGTTAGGCCCTTTTTTTCATAAGAGAAATTAAATATCATCCTACATTTTGTTTCTACCAATCCTTCTATCCATTTAAATGATGACATGTGTTATATTAGTATCCTAAAATATCATTAAATTTCATTAAATGAGGATTAAATGTTACAAATGTCATTATTAGGTAGGAACATATTTAATTTCTCTTTTCATAATATTGTCATCAGTTTAAAAGAAAAAAAAACGTAATGTTTTAAGTTTGACTAGTAGCACTCGTTGGAAAATCAGGAACAACTAAATTGCAATTTAACTTTTGTAATTAATATACATCACTAAACACAATCATTCAAGGACTAATATGATTGTCAATTGTATTTATGCACATACTTAAATATATACATGCTATTCAATAATTAGGGATCTTCCGTACCATGTTTGATGCGAAAGAAACACAACTTTTGCAAATGAAAGTGAACTTAACCAGAATTCGTCTTGAAATACATGCATGTTGCAGCTTAGATAACTGTTTCTTCTCATTGGTTGGCCCCACCACGTACTGTAATTTTATAAATGGATCTATGTATCACTTGATGATGTTATAGGAAGGACTTTCTTGTTTCTACGCATAATCGAAATTTCTGATGTGACAATAGCCGCTATGATAACAATCCCCATGAATATGAACAATCCAATAAAACTCTGAACATCAAGACTTTGTGGTGGGGCTTGATTAGGCTGTGATTTATCAGCAGGAGAGAACCCAAGATATTTTTCCTTCATTTTCATCATAGTTTCACTTTCTGTGACATTAATGACTCCCCTAGAAAAGTCCTGCAATAAAGGAGATCCACGTGGAAACGCCTGAGATATTAAACATGTCATGCAGTTAGGGAATTTATAATATTATATTGTAATCCATGTGAATTTATTCTTTTATATATCTTGTAGAAGGCTAGTAAAATCACATGATCCAGTAGATTAAATATAGTATGAGACTCACAAATGCAATTCCAGATTCCTGGTTTATTGGTCCAAACTTCATGTATTTAGAGCCATACTTAGCAAGAAAGAGTTCGATGTAGGGGAGCTCATCAACAATAGCACTTACGCTGCCATTGGTCAAAGCACTTTTATATTCTTCAACGCTTTTGAGAGGTAAAAGCTGCTTGCCAGAACAATTGTATTTTTCGGTTATAAGATCTTTTAAAAAGGAACCATCTTGGTATCCAGCATTTTCAAAAGATGGAGGCAATCTAGGACGTAGTTGATCTAGAGTTAACCATGAGGACAAAGTAGCGGTGAAAATCTGTATAACTATGAAAATCATACTTAGCCAGATCACAAGCACAACTTTGGAGCACTTATTTTTTATCTTTCCTGCAAAAGATAAAGATCCATAAATTATTTGCATAGAAACATAGCTTCATTTCGTTAATTTGTTTCCTAACTATTCACGTGATATATATACTAACCCATATTTAAGGAAATATGTGCTTTTAAAAACATTTGATTTTTTTAAGGTGGATCCATGAACAACAAGATTCTAAAAGAAAGAAAAAACTTGAATTCCATCAACAAAAAAACACATGATGACTAACCATTTATTTCACGTTATTTTATATAGAATCCACAACAACTATTTGACATTTGAAAAATAATTAAATTCTTGTTCAGAGTTTAAGTTTCAATATATCTCAAAATAAGTACCTTCGTGGAAGAAGAATGTCGATATAGGAAACCAGATGACCATTATGAGTTGGGTATAGATTGGGCTTGAAAAACTAGGATTATTCTCCCGATATTCTAAAATTGCAAGTGCAACCCCAGTGAAGATACATACAACAACTATTGTGATCCAGAGTCGCCATGTAAAAGGTCTTAAGAAAGTCCATAGGGTTTGGTTCCATTCGTGAGCAGCATGCACAAGCACATAAACTTCAGAATTCAAGTAGGGAATTGTAAAGTCAACAATTTGAGCTCTGTTACCTCGAATGGTTATATCACCTGCGACAGCTTCACAAGTCTGCAATATATAAAGTAAGAACTATTTCAGCTTATAAAGTAACAACTATTTCAGCTGATAATTATTTTGTAAGTTACATACAACTCTACCACATTTTTTCCTACCATAACAAAAGTTAATATAACATATTAAAAAAAATCATTTATGACATTGAACTCTATATTTATTGAATTTTTTTTCACACAGAAGAGTATCGCTGGCCATTGAACTCCATATCCATCGAACCTAATGTTGTATCCTACTATGGCTCATGTCGCCAATGGCTAAAAAAACTACATATAAATACTAATTATTTTAAAATTTACTTGTAAGGTCCTTTATGTTTTTGAAAAAAACTCAATAGTGCCCCCAACAAAAGAAAAATGTTTAAATAGCCACCGACTATGATTGAATTTAATCAATTGGATGTCAAGTAGGCATTCAACGTCATTCAACTTTATCATTAAACTATGCATTGCGGGTGCTTACTTTTTTGTTTTCGGTTGCATATGTTGAAGGTATGTATGAATTTTTAAAATGTGTGTGCATGGAATAGATATGTTCTGAAAAATTTACCTTGCCTTCAATGTGCTCTAGAAGTGATAATAGGTGCCATTACTTTTCCCCATGTCATCAACGAAAGGTCTGAAGATGGGTTGAACTGTATATGGTAATAAATTTAATGCATGGCAGAATATGGCAATGGAGAATCCACCTTCAACTTTTGATTTCTCATTCACTTTTACAAACTCAGTGAAGCCATCTTTCTTTGGCACCCATACTACTAATGTTGGACATGGACTTTTTAGTTTCTTGGACATATTCCATTGTGGCCCTATAATGTCTTTTATTTGCAATCAACATAAAACTCTTCAGAATTGGTATGAATAAGAAAAAACTAAATAAATTGTAACAGTATATATAAAGAAGACTTGTATATACTTAATGTTATAATAACGATAACGACAACATCAATTACAAGTTTTTTGTAGGAGATTTTGTACTTGATAGAATTGACTTAGCATTAGCTATTGGAAGTTGTCATTTGAGGATGGTTTTTCTAATAGGACTTAAAGTATGACACAGGATGTCACAGCTGACGTAAAGATATTGTTATCCTATTCGGAGTCAACTCGCATGATTTTTCTTTATTGTTGTCTATGTATGCAAGTAAACAGAAACATATTAAATAATAGATTCCTTCTCAAGCTTTTGGTATTGTAATATTTTAGCTAATCTTTATTATCTTTTTAGTTAAAATAGCCTACCCAACCCAGGAAGCATTATATTTATTATATCTAGATCTAGACCAAACCCAAACTGAAAAATCTTAAGCTACAGAATTTTTGGCCTATTGGTTTTTGCTAGAGAACGAAGTGCAATGGAAAGGTTAAACTTTTAAAAATTAAAAATCCTAGCTATATGAAGTTTCTGCATAGATTGATGGATCATGAAGTTTCTACATCCGGTAATTATAATTTCAGAGAATGGTGTATCATATTTGTAGTTTCCAAAAGAATCGTGAAACATCTATCTTAAACTCACACAACAACAGATATATAGCTGTTCGAAAAAAAAATTCCTACCACAGATAAATGATGTGTATAAATAATAAATTTCTTTCACACTTACAAGTGCATAGACATAGTTTAACATTATAAGCTGATAAAAGTAATATAATTCACACTAATAAATTCCTGAAAATAATTAAAAAGTTTACGCTTATGTATGTGTCAAACTAATAAAGATGTAGATTGAAAATAGTTCAAACTTAAAGGCATGGGTATTTAGACAATTTATATATGCGCGCATTTAAATGTGAACAGTTTTTTTCTTTAACGGCAGGTCATCCAAGGTTGAATCGAGTCTGTGGTGGAATTCGAACTAGACATCTCTCGATTTTGGAGTCATTAATTAAATCCAAGTGATAACCAATAGGCCCTTTTGATGTTTATATGACCTTTTTAAGTGGTCATCCACGTTTCAAAAAATAGTTGTACACTTTTACTCTACCAACAATTTGTTACTGCATATCTGTTCATTAATTACTGCAATTTTATAATTCTATGTTTTTGAAGTGTAATATGCATATAAGGTGTATAGAATTTATTTATCTAGACTATCAGAAACATTTGTCAAATGTTAACAACATACCTGCACATACATCTCCCTGTCCAGTATCACCTAGCTCCTGGATAGATCTTCTCCTGCGGCTAGATGTATCTTGGATGACTCTACTCATCATCCCTTTTCTGAATCCATGTTTTGAATATGCTAATTCTGGAGTAAAACTTTTTTCTGTTGTTACTATAGATGCTTTCACAAAGTCAATCCTGCAATAAACACCAAGCATGGCAGCTAAAAACACCAAGGAAAGACTGCAGTTCTTATGCTCCATATTGTGCATGCAGTAATTGTATTTGTTAGACTTGTATGTTATATTATATAGAGATTGATGGCGGCTTGAAGTTTGTTGACATGTTAACTGTAAAAATCTTGAACATTCACAAGGTTTGAGAGAAGAAATTAAAGACAGTGATTTGTTGCAATATTTAAGGAACAACTCTTTCCGAGCAAATTCCAGAATCCCTGTCAACTTCAAATGAGTTATATTGTTATTTGACTTATTTCCTTTGCCGATCAATCTAGTTTTCTCTCTACTTGCAAGTGAAGCAAGAAAATATGGACCGGTTCAACCGAAATATATAAAACAAAGACATTTATTATTGACTATTTTTTTTAAAACGGCAAACTATATTAAACATAAAAGGGACTAGCAATGGGCTAAGAGGGGGGGGGGGGGGGGTTACAGTGCCAAGGTTCAAGCCTTGGATAGATTACACAACCTAAGTGCAGCACGATCCGTTTCCAAAAAAAAAGTGCAGCATGCCATGCACCTCCAAAATAATTTTGCAAACTGAAAGAAATGTGAAATTCAGTTTCTTCATTCTCATTACAAAAGGGGCAAAACATCGATATATTCTGGATTCAACATTTGATTAGGTTGATTACATTCGGGAGTCTACCAAGCCTCGCACTCAAAACCATAATGTTTACTTTCAAAGGAGTGATTTAGTTCCAATTGGTCATCGCATGAAATCCTGCAACATAGCTATCCAAGAATTTCATGAAGGATGCAACTGAATAAGACCCTTGTCGGTCAAGCTCCCAACGCCACAAATCTCTACCGCCTTTAAATGTGACATGCAAACACTTACCAATAACATAATTTAACTCCTCAAGCTCTCTACTATTTGCAATCTTCCTAGGCCAGTCCTACATCATTCTTATCTCATTCTCAGGGCCGGTCATGACGGTGGGCAACCCGGACGACCGTCCAGGGCCCATGTCTTCAGGGGCCCAAAATTTCTGGGCTATATATATAAAAAAAATTAATACCTAAATGATTAGGGCCTAAAGTTAGTTCAAACTCAAACCAGCTCAAAAGATAAACAATTTGGCTTGCTTGTTATTGCTAATTGTACGTGTTTATAGTGAAGAATAAATGATTTTTTTTGAATCTTTATGATATTTGTCTTTAAGGGTCCTTTTTTTATTTTCGCCCCAGGCCCCATATACGTTTGGACCGGCCCTGCTCATTTGTGATCTTTTCAAGAGTTTGGATCACCTTGATCGGGGCCTTATGAAGATATAAGAGGTATATCCTTAGATTCCCCAACACCGCTTTGGAAAGCAGAAGCTGCCCTCCAAAAGAAAGGACGTGCGATGTCCAAGATGAAAGCTTCTATTCAATTTTTTCAATTGGGGGAAGCCAATGACTTGACTCATACATTATAGTTTGAACTGGGATTTCCAAGCAAGCAAAAGGAAGGTCCCTACTTTTACATTTAAACTTACTTGCCAAAGTTTCGGACTCACGGTTATTCGTCCCAATATCAATAAGTTGCCTCTTGCTTACGTTTACCTTTAAACTAGAACTGGAATCATCTTAAGATTCATATAAGATTCAAGGCATTTTCATCACCCCAATTCCCAAGAAATAAAGTGACATTCACGTACTAGATAATAGAGACACCAACACCGTTAGCTGGTTACAACACCACAACACAAACCCTTATATTTATCCTATTTCATGACAACATTCATACCTTCTACTGCAAGAAAAAAGATGAGAAGGGACAATTAATCCCCTTGACAAATTCCCTTGCTCATGGAAAACTCCTTAGTGGGAGAGCCATTCACAATCACCAAGAGTACTCTAGCCGTATAGATGATGTCATGGATCCAAGCCTGCCATTTGGTTCCAAAATTTATTCCCATTAAGGTGTCAACTAAAAAGTCCTAATTTACATAATAAAATGCCTTTTTGAAATCCATCTTGAGGATGAACATTTTCTTCTTTACTTTGTTCCTCCAGGAAATCACATTATTAACATTACAAGACCATCCACTATGTTTCTACCTTTTATGAAGGTAGTTTGTTTGTTATTGATCATTGTCCCCACCACCATTTATGTCGGTTCGATAGGATTTTAGAAATAATTTTACCTATACAACTAATTAGTTTAATATGACGGTAATCACCTAATGAGCGAGGATCTTTCACCTTAGAAGCGCGGGAGATACCTGACACATTGCAAGCGCCATTAAGGATCGATACTTCTCTAAGTCTTAAGCAAACTTGAAGACATCTTCCCCGCTAATATTCTAGAATTGTTATGAATCGAAAGTTGAAGACATTGGACACAGTGACCTTGTCATTTCCAAAGTTTCAAACTGTCGCCTTTTGTTCATCCTAAGAACTAGGATTTCCAACATATTTTTTGTTTATCAGAAATTTATTACTCCTGAAATGAGGTCTGAAAAAACCAAAAATAGTATTTTGACCCGCTTTGGGCCAGTCACACAAAATCTTTGAATACTTAATACATAAATGCTCTCTTTTTTCGAGCTCACTATCCCATTGAGGAAACCATAATTCTTATCCCTCCCAAATTCCATTTGATTCTCGAATTTTTCTTTAAATCCATAATTTCGAGTTTCTCTAACCTCTCAAGTTCCTTTGGGCGGTTGATTATGTTTGTGTCCGCTTCATTATCAAGGAAAAAGATTGTTCTAATTTTTAATAGTTGCTTTGAAAATTTTGGATTAGGGTTTAGGATTTAATATTTTAGAATCAAAAACAAAGGTGCATCATCAGTAATGGTTGGTTCACATCCTTTCTTTTTCTACAAATTGGGGAAGTGTTAGTACCCCATATCAACTAAGCATGTTCCAATGTGTCAATGAATGTTGCAGTCCACCCACTATTCAGAAACATCTTTTGTATAGAAACTAAGGATTCCACATATATCTTACGTACATTGTAGCAAACCTATTAACTTAAACACATCATATTCTATCCTTACTGAACCTATGAACTTTTTGAGAATGATAGTTTCCTGTATTGGCAAGACACAATACCTAAAAGAATGTGAAGGGGTGCTCTAGTAGTGTGTTGAGCACCGGGGAAATGAGAGAAAGTCAAACATATATGGTAACAGTAGAAGAAGATCAAAGTCAAGGAAAAGAGGTTAGTTGAAGAACATCAATTTATTACCTATTGGAATTACTAGGAGAATGGTAACATCAGAAATCAGTACCTAAACCCCAACAAACCAAGGCAATAGGGAGTTTAATGTGGCAGCAGACTTCCATGATGATGCACTTATTTGTTGTGTCAAAAATTAAATAGAATCATGGATAATGGATTATGGTGCATCATTTCATGCTAGTCATTTCAAAAGTGTAATGCATAATTTTAGGCACTATATTACGAATTTTAGACTAGCAAACAACAAAAGCCTAAATATCACGGGTGTTAGGGATATTGTGCTGAAGATGACTTTGGGAAAAAATTAGACTTTGAAATGTAACGACCCAATTTTTACAAAGAAAATTTTCATTTTTAATTAGTCAACCATATTTCGTAAAACATGAAAAATCCCAATAATTGTTTTCAGAACCACCATCATTACAACATTATTATTTTCAAAACATTAGAGTGTCCCCCAACCCGTATCGGAAAAGAGAGATAGAGTGCATGCCAAATCATCACGCCTTGCCTTTACCCTTGGACTCCGATGTACCTAAAACAAAATCCACAAATGGTAAGCTGAAAGCTTAGTGAGTCCCCCAGAGCATACCCCACACAAACCATATATCATATTAGCTATAAAGCTACATCTACCACATACCACATGTCAATTAGCCATGAAGCAATCTCTACCGTTAGCCATAAAGGCTATCTCTACCATCAGCCATGAAGGATGTCTCTACCATTGGCCATAAGGCCGTCTCTACCATTAGCCATACGGCTATCTCTACCGTTAGCCACAAAGGCTATCTCTACCACATATCATGCATAAATACATATCACACCTCTACATAACAAGTAATCCAACTATCGCAAAATGGGCCGGCCTTGGTGCCTTAGAACCATTGGTATGGTGAGAAGACTCACCTCTCAAAGGCTGAAATAGCAAACTGGATTCAGGTATGCCTGTGCTGCTCTTCCCAAACTGTTTATAATCAATGAGTAAATATCTCAGCATAGTCCCATCAATACCCCAGGGTTAACCCTGGTTAAATTCAAAGTCTATAGTCAAGGTCAACAGTCCATATTGACCTTGACTCGTCGAGTACAATCAATCACTCGTCGGGTTCCCTGCTTGACTCTCCGACTCGCCGAGTCACCCGAGGGACTCGTCGAGTTCCTTGGTGTGTACGACCGTACACCTCTGACCGTAAACCCTTGGCCGAACACCCTTGACCGTACACTCTTGGCCGTACACTCTTGGCCGAACACGAGAAACCCTCTCGACTCGCCGAGTCTCTTGCACGACTCACCGAGTCCCTATTAGTCCATTATGTTTACGGCCTCTTCCAGTGGGACTCCAGGCCCCAAACTTCAGATGTATACTCTACTAGTGTGGAATACACATAAAGTTGCAAACTTTACGTGCATGCAAGGCCTCTCATGGCCATAATCACCAAAACTAACCTTCAACAAGGTTTCCATGCATGGGAAGGGAATGAGCTCACTAAAAGGTGAAACTTTATCATAATTGGGACCTATAAAGGTCCAGATCTGGAACCATATCCATGTGATAGGTCCAGATCTAGGCTTGCTTCCATTTCCTCAAAGTTGGTCACAACTCTCAAATAGAATTTATGCTTAAGGTAACAGATTCATAACTCAAATCAATGCCCACGACGAACTAGATGCTAGGTCTAGTGTTTTCCCCTTGATAATTCTTCTTCAAGATTGGAATCCCTCCTAAAATCTCAAGGATAACCTTCCAATTGATCTTACTTCACTCACAAGAGGGTGTGCGGCCGTAAACGTTCTTCTAAGGTGCAAAGGGAGGCTACTGGGGCGGATAATAATGTTTATATAGGGGGCAAACCCCAAAATTAGGGTTTTCTTTAAACAGCTCGGACTCGTCGAGTCGACCCTTCCGACTCGCCGAGTCACCTCCGTCCCATGTTCCAGATACCCGACTCTACTCGACGAGTTGGTCCTCCAACTCGCCGAGTCCATGCATGAACCTCTCCAAATTGTCAACTTCCAGCCAATACCTGAATCGGGT